CTGATGATGCTTACACCAGGTACTCTCCAGAGACACAGTCCTCAGAATGTGTCCCTGCCGAAGTAGTGCAAGACTGTGCTTCTCTGGGTCTTGTTTTCCTGTGTGTACCCGCATCTCTCCCTCTCCCTCTCTCTTCTCACAAACCCACCATACATTCCCAGGGGACCTCACTTGTAAATATTTGCAAAGGCTCGGGCTGTTGTTAGAACAAGACTGGGATGATGACTCTGTTCTGCTAGCTCAGGAGGCCTAATATCCCATCCCAGCTGTGGATGTCGAGTGTCTAGGAAACAAGAAATGAAAATCACAACCATGGATCAGTCCGAGACACACACACACACACACACACACACACACACACACACACACACACACCACTACACATTAAACCCAGGATGTCCATCCCCGGGAGTGGGGAGCAGTGTGGATAATGCAGGACCCTGTCACCACTGAAGAGCTTCCCAAAGCAGGCCCCCACAGTCTCAGGCTCTTGGCAGCCAAGGACTGGTCCCTCCCTGTGTGAGAAGAGCCCTTCATCATGCCAGGGACCTGGCCAGCCCTGAGTACCATCTACAGTGAAGAGGTCACAGGCAACAGCAAATGCAGGCGGGATATTTATGTCTGACTGCTGTCCCCAGGGAGGCTCCCCTTCCCTATGGCAGGGCCCGGTGAGCCCTGAGTCATCTGCTCATTGTCAGTTACAGAGCACAGTTCTCTTAGCATAACGGCCACCACCTTCAGCTGAAAAGTCCGTCTGGGACCTGTCTGCTGACTGTTGACATTCTTTTATAGAAGGGGTGGGTGGGGAGGGTCAGGAGATTTCCACTGACTGCAGAGCACCCCCCAGCACACTTTCCTGGTCTCTCCACAGACCTCCTGCACCCACCCTTCCCTGCATTCACTCTCTACACGGCAGACTAAGGGACCTTTACAGCTGCTATTCTCACCCGCTAAAGAACGAGAAGGGGATGGCAACGTCGGGGCCCATTCTTAGAACTTTTATTCCAAGGAGCTGGAGAGACCGCTCCGCAGTTAAGAGCACTGGCTGCTCTTCCAGATGATGTGGGTTCAACTCCCAGCACCCATGTGGTGGCTCACAACCATCTGTAACTCCAGTCCCCAGGAATCCAATTCCCTCTTCTGGCCTCTGTGGGCACCGGGTATACATGTGGTGCACAGCCACACATGCAGGCAAGACACTCATGCACATGGAGTAAAACAATATTGATGCTTAATTTAAAAATTGTTTTAAAACTTTCATTCCACTGGACACCTTTGAGGCCTGAGTATTGAGTTTGGGGTCTTCCTGTGACGATGTCAGACGACAGTGGTGGGAAGGATCTGAATGCACCTCCAGGACCTGGCTGAAGAAACATCCGCGGGCTCTCAAATGCGAGCGAAATTAGAGCAAGACAGAACGGAACAGGGTGGCGCAACTGCAGAACCCTCACCCAATGACGCAGTCTTCACCTCCGGCCATGATCATACCCACAACCCTCCTACCCCCTTCTCTCTCACCCATCCATCACTCCCTCAACTCCCTTTCATTGCCTTCTAACATGTCACCTTGTCCCCACAGCAAGGCCTTCTCTCCTGCCACTCCCTGCCTGGCTTACTGCTTCCTGACACAGGCTCTTGTCTGGGTCTGAGTGTCATGTCACCTGCTGAGAGGCGGGTCACCTCATCGCCGCCGTGTTTTGGTGTCTTGACATTTCCCACAGCCTGACCACTGTGTGTTCCTGGCTCTTCTTCACTGTCTGTCTCCATGTGACGAGGGGAGGGGAGGGACCCTTCCTGCCACCCCACTCTCCTACTGCATTTCCATCGCGGTGACAAAATACCCAGACAAAAAGCAATTCCAGGTGACGGTCCATCACTTCAGGGAAATCAGAGCAGGAGCTTGAAGCACCTAAGTCGCATCAAAACCCGTGAGAGCAGAGATCAATGAATGTGTGCATGCTTGTGGTCAGCTTGAGCAGCCCGCTATGGGGCTGGGGCTGCCCACATTCCAGCCAATCAGCCACAGGCCCGCCTGATCCAGGGGATCCCTCACTGAAACACTCTTCTCAGGAGAGTTCTGACGAGTTTACGGTCGGAAACCACCACACCCACTCATGTGCCCCCTGGCTTGGCACCCTTCTTAACACATGAGATGTCTATAGACACTCAGTGAAGAAATGAATGGATTCCTTCCCTTCAAAGCTGCTGCTCCTTAGCTGCACACTGCTTTCTGTTCACACAGGAGGCTCCTGGCCTCAGCTCTGCTGACATGTAGACCAGGAAGGCGCTACCTTCGACCTCTGCCCTCTACATGCAGAGTACTGCCCAAGCTGAGAACTCCTGCCCTGCACTGGTAAAACTCAGGTTTTTACAAACACCCTCAGGCCTGGCTGTTGTTCCTCCAGCGCAGTTCCATGAGGTGACCAGCAGATGGCAGCAAAGACCGTCCTTCTGGTAATGCGGCCTCTGCAAACATTTCCTGGCCCTGGACAGCAGACAGCCTCTGGCGGGATTTGTCAGCTGGTGGGAGCTGCCTAGCCGTGTTTACACTTCTCCTGAATAAACAGAAGATGTCCCATGTCCAAGGTCCAGGGGCAGAGAAGTGGTGGGTGGCGTAGGTGTTGGCAGGAAGCAGAGGATTGTTTTGGAATTCCCGGTTCTGAGTTTCATTCCCATTGGGACCCTTGGCCTCCGTGTGCCTCTGGGGTAGTTAACAGGCTGCCTGTGCCTCAGCCTCCTCATCTCTAACCTGCTAGGTCTATCTCGACAGTACTACATGTTTCCCACGCCTCTCTCCACCACATGTCAGCTCAGCGATCCAGGCTGGCCCTGTAGTCAATGCCTCTCAGTCTTTCAAGTGTTTGTTGACCGACTGACTGGTGTGTAGAGCATGTAGTAAGTACTCACTGGGAATCAACTGTGAAGACAACGTCATGAAGAGGAATGATGATGTCACATGGGGGGTGGCATGAGAAAGACCGTGCGGTGAACGTGATGTAAAAATGAAGACGCCATGTTGAGGATGATGCTGTCGTGCCTGAGACTGTAGTCTCTGATACAGTTGATGATGTCATGGTGAGAGAGACAGTGACGTCCTGAAGTTGGTGTCATTGTGGCGGTTTTGATGAGAATGCCCCCCACAGACTCAGATGTTTGAATAATTGGTCCTCAGTTGGTGGAGCTGTTTTGGGAAGGATTACGTGGTGTGGACATGTTGGAGGAGGTGTGGCACTGGGGATTGGCTTTGAGTTTTCAAAAGCCACCCCATTCCTAGGTAGTCTCTCTGCCCCAGTGCTGTGCCTGCCTGCCTGCCGCCATGCCCCCTGCCTGCCCGCCGCCATGCCCCTGCCTGCCCGCCGCCATGCCCCTGCCTGGCCACCATGCCCCTGCCTGGCCACCATGCCCCTGCCTGCCCGCCACCATGGCCCCTGCCTGCCTGCCCGCCGCCATGCCCCCTGCCTGGCCACCATGCCCCCTGCCTGCCCGCTGCCATACTCCCTGCCATGATGGTCACAGACTCTAACCTGCAACTGTGAGCCCCAATTTTAACACTTTCTTTTGTAAGTTTCCTTAGTCATGGTGTTTTGTCACAGCAATAGAAAAGTAACCAAGACAGTCACAGGATGTTGACGTCACACAGTGATGTCACTGGTGACTGTGATGTGTCCTTTGGATGGCAATGTCACGTGAAGATGGTGGCATCTCGAAGATGTAATGTCCTGATGCTGGGAACGGTGTTGTCGTCTAATAACCCACCGCACACCGGCAACTTCTGAGTTCCTTCAGCCCGAGGCTCTCTGCCTCCAATCTCGGGGGATTCCAGTGAGTCCTCCCTGAGCACTGCCAAGCCCCACCCACACAGAGAGCACTCCCATCCAGACCTGGAGAGGGCTGATGCCTGGCCTTCGCTGGGCACAGACACAGAGGTGACCATCCCAGGGGTAGACTGTGGTTTTGAGGGCTGTTCTGTCTACAGCTGCCACCTGCTCCTCTTCCTGTGAGGGTCTCTTGGCAACCTGGAGAAGTGCGGGGGACCAACACCGGAGTGGTCTAGAGGATCCTGGGACGAGTCGGCTCTCATTGCCAAAGGGAGCCTCTAGACTAGAGACTCATCGCACAAGAAAACCTTTCCTGCAGAGAACTGGGCAGGACTCTTCCCAACTCCTCCAGGTCCCTCCTCTCTTCCCTCCCCACCCCCTCCATTTCTGCCTTCACTCCCCTCTTACACCCCACCCCTCCTCCACCCCCTCCACTTTCTCTGCTACTCCCCACTCCCCTTCTCCACCCTACTTCCCTCCTCCACCCCTCCACTTCCTCCTCCACCCCTCCACTTCCTCCTCCACCCCTCCACTTCCTCCTCCACCCCTCCACTTCCTCCTCACCCACTTCCTCCTCCACCCCTCCACTTCCTCCTCCACCCCTCCACTTCCTCCTCCACCCCTCCACTTCCTCTTCCATCCCTTCCCCTCCCTCCTCCACCCCCTCTACTCAGTCACTGGCTGGAGTGACCCCTCCGGGAACCTTCCCTCCTTGGTGCTGGAACCCAGAGTCTGACTTCTCCCTGGTGCTCCCCACTGTTCCCTCCCTCATCTGTGTCAGGTTGTGTGAAGCTCCTGGCAGCATCTGAGGGAGAGGCCACAGCCCTGAGCCTGCTTACAGAAGCAGTGCTGGAAGCCAGGGCTGCTCTTAAGAGCAAAGGATGCCAGTGTCTCTGTGCACCTTTGCACAAGTTAACTAACCTCTCTGATCCACCCAACACTGTCTCACAAAGAAGAGAAGCTGATCCTACAGTCAGGGCTGAGGACAAAGTGAAGACAGAGAAGGCCCAGAGCAGGCAGAGGTGCAGAGCTCCCAGGTGGTTAGGACTGGCGTTTATTTCGGGTCACATGGGTTCCACACTCCCTCTCCTCTTGCAGTCCACCAGACACACACACACACACACACACACACACACACACACACACACACGCGCGCGCGCACACACACACACTACACACACACACACACACACACACACGCACGCACACACACACACACACACACACACACACACACACACACCACACACACACACACACACACACACACACACACGCATACAACGCAGCAGCGGAGTGAGCAGCTGAGAGAGCTCAAAGAGCAGCCAGGCGGAGCTCGGCCACAGTGGGCACGGCTGGCCCTCTGGCCTCTGTCAAGGGCACCTGAGGAAGCAAAGGCTGCCAGGAGCCCCAAAGGCTCTGAGGCCTCTGGGTTGACCAAGCTCAGACAGCCTGGTCCTCCCTCTGCCTCAGGCTGAGCACTCTTGCAGCTGCCAAGAAGGCCACCCCAGTGAGCAGCTCAGAGACAAAGCTAATCCAGCTGAGGGCCAGGGACCAGCCAAAGCGGATGTCCACCTGATCCAGCAGGGCCCGCTCCTCCAGGAGGCACGCTGCCTCTCGGAAGGCGGCTGCTGAGTATGCGATGTAGACGCTGATTCCAGTGAGGGTCACCATGGCTGCAGGGAAAGACCAGGACAGTCAGTCAGAGCCTTCTGGCCTGCCCCTCCTCCCTGCTCCTCCACTCCCCCACTCCCGTTCTCCACCTCCTCAGCTTCCTCCTACACGGAGGACATCCTGTTCTGTCACTCCCCACCTAATTCTCCTGAGACAGGGTCACTCACCGAACCTAGAGCCAAACTGGGAGTCAGCCCCATCCTGTCTCCACTCCTGAACGCTGGGGCTACATGTATTCCTACAACCATGCTTGGTTTGTTCCCGGGGCTTGGGGGATCTGAGCTAAGTCCTCTTGCTTGCACAGCAAATGTTCTTACACACTGAACCATGTCCTAGGCCGGTCTCTCTCTCTCTCTCTGTCTCTCTCTGTCTCTCTCTGTCTCTCTGTCTCTCTCTGTCTCTCTCTGTCTCTCTCTCTCTCTCTCTCTCTCTCTCTCTCTCTCTCTCTCTCTCTCTCTCTAAATACAGGGAGTCAGAGAGCAACCATCTGGGCCATAGTCCCACTTTCTCTGGCCAGCCATGTAAGCAAAAACTGCCTCAGCCCATGTCTGCCTTGTTTGGATTTGATTGATTTAGTCTGGTTTAGTTAGGCTTGGTTTAAGTATGGTTTGGGTTTTTGGGGATGTGGTTTGTATTTAGGTTTGAGGGGTATGGTTTGATTTAGTATTGGTTTTATGTTTCTAAGAGTTATAGTGTATGGTATTATCTGGACGTCAACTTGAGATCCTCCAGCCTCAGCCTCCTGAGTGCTGGAATGACAAGTGTGTAAACCACACCCTGGTGTGTGTCACCTTCTGATAAGTAACCTTTGTCTATATCCACCATGTGATATACATGGTTTTAACATGCCTGCATATGGTGGAGCAGCTTTAGAAGTTATTAACACGTGCGTTGATTCACACAGCCTCCTTTTATGGTGAAACACATAAGTCTACCTTCTCAGCCACAAGCAAGTGCAGTGTATATGGGTGCATGATGCAGTGTGTGCTGATTGTAATCACCAAAATGGACAATAGGTCCCTGAACTTATCACTCCTGCTAAACAAAGCTGAGAGACATTCAACCAGCATGTCCCCAGCCGCCCCCACCCCCACCACAAGCTTCTGCTAGGGTTTTGTTCTGTCTCACTGTAAGCTCAGCTTATTGAGGCCCTGCAGCAAAGTGAAATCGTGTGCACTGTGTCCTGCTGTGCCTGGTCAGTCTGATCCCCCACATCAGAACCACTGCTCAGCAGAGAGCAGCAAAGACAGCACGTGCCAGGGTCTCTCATCCCCCCACAACTCTAAACTGGAAGCCAAGGCCATCAATGGGAGACCAGACAGAGGTGACAGACACAGCTCTTCAGTAAAATGCTAGGGATGACGCCCGAGGCTGTGTCCTCCTCCTCCTCCTTCCTTGGAACTGGAGATCTTGGGACCTCAAGGCTGGAAACCTCTGTCCCTTCCATCTGATATCACAATGAGGAAAGGCCCTCACAGGAGCTGAGACCCCGCCCCTAAAGAGGGCTCCTGCACAGCCCTCACCACCCATGCATCTGGACCTGGACCCTGGGCAGTGGAAACCTACCTCCAAAGAGAAAGAGGGTCCCAGTGAGCTGCAGGAGGAGGTGGGCTCGGAGGAGGAAGCTCAGGAACCCGGTCATCCCCCCGAACACCATCATGATCAGACTGAAAGGTAACAAGATCACAAACGTCCCGTGCATGGCTAGAGAGAAGGGGACCAGGTACAGGAAGTCACTAACAGTATGCAATAATTTCCATACGTTTACCATGTACCCGCAATAATAGGAACACCACAACTACTTCTACTGATAAAAGAACGGTGGAGACTCCGGTGTGCAAGGTCTGTACTGAGCATCATTGCACTTTCTCTCTGTGACCCCTAGAGGGCAGTGTTGTATTACTATTATTTTCTCAGTGCAGCATTGAGGGGCTGATATTCTAATGAGCATGCAAATGAACAAATAAGCCTGTGAGACAAGCACCAGGGCTCCTGGAATATTAGTTCTCGTCTAGGCTGAGGATACTTGCGAGTGGGTGAGCAGGCAAGTGGGCAGAAGAAACGGAGAAAGGTCCTTTCATAAAACCCTGTACCCAAATTTTATCTCTGCCCCTGGCCCCACCCCCAAATTACAGGTGCCTCATAAATCCAAGGCACATGACTCATTTTATCCTGGGGGTGGATCTAATCTCATCCCACAGCCCAGAAGAAACTACACACCCAAAAGGCTTTGTGATCTTAATAATAAAATGTTAATAAAATATCACACAGGGACCAGAGAGATGCTTCAGCGGTAAAAGCACCTGCCACAATCAGTCTGAGTTTTGGACCCCACATAAAGGCGGAAAGAGCACACACACACACACACACACACACACACACACACACACACGCACGCACGCACGCACGCGCGCACAACAAGATTTTAAAACTCTGTAATCCAGGCAGTCTCTGACCAGGATCTGGGACTTGACCATGGTGCAAAAATAGATCGGGTGGAAATTGCCCTTTCCATTTTTGACCTTTCATGGGAGTACTAGAGATTTAAACTCAGGCCCTCACTCCGCGCAGCAAGCATTTAACTCACTCAGGCGGCTCCTCAGGCCACCAGGATGTCCTCAGTTCAGCAGATGAGTAGACGGTGTCTGCTCTGATCACAGCTTCACCATCCAGAGACAGACAAACAATTCACAGACAGTGCCCCCTGTGGGTGAACTGACAGACTCTGCGCAGGAATTATCATCCAGATCACAGTGCTTCTAAGAGTCACACAGTCCTCAACCGCCATTACATCACCCACCTCAACCACAGGCACACGCTAGCACTGAGGCAGCTGGGATATGTGTGTCCCTCAATTGTCTCAGGATAGGCCAAGCACAGGCTGCCACACTCCCCTCCCCAGGCCTCCAGTGTCGTCCACACCACCATCTGAGAACCCAGGAGCCATGGCTAGCTGGGATGCAGCTTTGCAAACCTGTTTTCTCATCTATTAAATAGAGAGCCAACAAATACCCCTTCCTCTAAGCCTATGTGTTGAGGACCCAGCACATTAAAAAAAAAAAATCACCCATCAAGGAGTTGGGGAGATGGTTCAGTCCCTTCAGTGACTACTGTGCAAACACAGGGACCTGAGTCTGGGCCCTTAGCATTTAGAAAAGGTGGGGTGCAATAGCATGCATCTGTAACACCAGAGATGGGCATGTGGAAAGATGGATTCTTGCTGCTATGGGCCAGTCAGTGTAACTGAATCGGTGAGCTCCAGAGAAATAGAAACTCTCTAAACTCTGTCTCTGCCTTTAATCCTAGCGGATCTCTGTGAGTTCAAGGCCAGCCTGGTCTACAGTAGAGTGAGTTCTAGGACAGCCAGGGGTACACAGGGAAACCCTGTCTCAAAACACACACACACACACACACACACACACACACACACACACACACACACACACAAAATAAATAAATAAATAAATAAATAAACAAAACACCTATACACGTAAAATTTTTTAAAAAAAATAATATCTCAAAAACAAAAAGTTTAAACTGGGCATTGTTGTGGGATGTCTTTCTGTATGCTGTGATTATGTGTTGCTTTGATTGGTTGATAAATAAAGCCCTTTGGCCTATGGCAAGTCAGGTTATAGCTAGGTGGGAAATTGAAGAGAGAGAAAGGAAGAAGAAAGACAGAGGCAGAGGAGACACCAGCACCTCCAGGAGAAGCAAGATGTGAAAATACTGGTAAGCCACGGGGACGTGGCAATTTACAAATTAACAGAAATTGGCCAAGTTATAAGAGCTAGCTAGCAAGAAGCCTGCCATAGGCCACGTAATTGGTAATTAATATCAAGCCTCTGAATGATTATTTTATACGGCTTTGGAACCTTGGGGCTGGGCAAGACCGGAGAAACCATCTGACAGGACCACAATAGGCATTGTGCTTCATGCCTATCATCCCAGCAGCTGGGAGGTAGGGACAGAAGGATCCGAAATTCAAGGTCATCCTCAGCTACATAGTTCACTCATGGCCAGCCTGGGCCTCATGAGACCCTGCCAAAACAAAAAGCACCAGGAATTTATTTGCTAAGTTGTAGAGTCAAGGTGTTCAAATCAAGGTCCTTGTCCCACTGCACGGGGTGGCCCTTCCTCACAGCAGCCGCTTCCCAGCAGCAGTGAGCAACACGGGGCATTCCTTGGCTTAGCTGGCTGCACTCCAGGCTCCAGCTCCACATCTGCCTCTTTGCTCTTCCTCTTCTAAGGACACACGCATCACGGGTTTTACAGTCCGTCACATCAGCTCCAGAGGACCTCACCTGGAGATCCTCAGCTACATCTGCAGTGTCGCTTTTCCCAAATAGAGTCAATCTCCAGTTCTGGAGCTGAGGACATGGCCTGTCTTTTCTGAATGTATTCATTTAATGGTTGGGCATGCCATGGCGCGCATGTGGGGGTCAGAGGACACTTGGTGGAGTCGGCTCTCTCTTTCCACCTATGGGTGGCGGTGTGCTTTGAATATGCACTGTCCCCCACGGGCTCTCGTGTTTGAGCTTTGTCCCCAGTTGGTGGCACTGTGTGGGAAGGTTGTGGAGCCTTCAGAACGTGGAGCCCTGCCGGAAGACGTTCATCCCAGAGGTCCAGTGGGCTTTGAGGTTTGACAGCCTGACCCCGCTTCCCACTCGTCTTGGCTTCCTTGGTGTGGACGCGATGTGACCAGCCAGCCTCCTGCTCCTGCCGCCATGCTGTTGCCTGCTGCTGGGTCTTCCTCACCTGATGGACTCCGTCCCTCTGGAACTGTGAGCCAAATGAGCCCGTTCTCCCTAAGTTGTCTTTGTCATGGGTATTCTATCACAGAAACAGAACGGAAGCTAACATGGGGGGGCTTCTAGGGTCACAAGGCTTGTGAGGCAAGTGCTCTTCTTAGACCCAGGCATATATTGTTGTTGCTGTTAGTGGCATCATTTTTTAGTATGACATCATTTACCACACTACCATACCTTCAGTGGTATGCAGTAGGAGCATCATATATGCCAAAAGTAGGTGCTCAATAGATGGTAGTATCTTTAGATTATAGATGGTTGTGTGGTGTTACTACAGTACTGTACTGGCCATGATTAGGATAAGTCTTTCCAAAGCTTGTCCCCGCTTGGCTCTATCACAGGGTGATGGAACAGTAGGATCTGGGGACGGGAGTGAGGTCTCAAGTCGGCTGGGGTGTGTCTTCCAAGGACATTGCAGGACCCTGGCCTCTTTCTCATTCTAGCATCCTGGCAGTTTTAAGTGAGCAGTTCTGCTTGGTCATGTGTCCCCACCACAGTGTGTCACCACAGCCCCAAGTGATAGGCCCAAGGGACAGTACAGTGTGACCTTCGAAATTAAACTTTGTGTCCTGGTGAGTCGATCACATCAGGTGTTCTCATAAGGGAACACTGACTAATCCAGCTGAGGGACTGCAGCAACAGCATCACATGGCCCAGGACATTCTGTAACTGGCGTGTTCATTCCTCGGTGCGGCTTTATAGTCTAGGCACACTGATCTCTTCTTACAGGCTACGTAATTTTCCTTAACTTTATCTACACACATAAATGTCTAGTCATTCTCGTTCTATGCACTGAGGCTCTTCCTTTCTTTCCTTTTTATTGTTTCTTTTTTTTTTTCTTTTTTTTTTGGTTTTTCGAGACAGGGTTTCTCTGTGTAGCTTTGCGCCTGTCCTGGAACTTACTTGGTAGCCCAGGCTGGCCTCGAACTCACAGAGATCCGCCTGGCTCTGCCTCCCGAGTGCTGGGATTAAAACAAGCATGGCATCGCTCTTCCCAGAAACGTCACACAGATTCTAGAAGCAGAACCAACTTTTTCAATTTTTAAAACATGGAATTGACTTTCCACAGAAGCCCAGAAAGGCTGCCCTCACACCCAAGCCTCCATTTTCCCAAGGAATCGAGGCCTGCCTTCGTCAGCTTTCCATTGCTGTGGCAATATATCTGAGAGAAAAAAATTAAAAAGAAGAAAGGTTGATTTGGGCTCAGAGCTCCCAAGGTTTCAGTCCGTGGTCGCCTGGCTCCTTGGCTTTCAGGCTGGTGACAGGGCAGAAATGTCATAACAGAGAACTGTTCATCTCTGGGAAGCCGGGAAGCAGAGAGGGAGAAGAGGCCACTACCCCGACTCCTCAGCCTCTTCCTCCAACCGGCTCCACAGCCTAAAGCTCACTCAGCTCCAACTCATCCAGAGTCATCCATGGATACGGTGAGTGCCTCGCTGTTCGGTGACGACCTCTCCGCCCTTGCCTTTCCTTGAGCTCTCCACAGACCACGAGAGGAGATTCCATACCTAAAGCGTGACCGACTCCTGGGCTCGGGCCTCGCTCGCTCTCCACATCCCACCTTGCCTGCAGCACCACTCCGAGGAAATCATACATCATGTCCCTCCTGTGCCCAGAGCCGCTCGACACTGAGTGTTTTATGTCCCTCTCTCCGTTTCCGCCCCCGCACTTCCATTTTCATCTCGCACCCAGCTTCATTTTAATTTTCCACACTACTGCAGCGGCCCCGCATCCAAATGCCAGGAAACCCGGTCGGGTGATTTTTCTCCCTAACCTTGCGGCCTCACGGAGGCCAGCCCCAGCTCAGTCAGCCTCAGCTGCTGCTGAAAGCATTTGACCTCTGAGTCCGCCTGATCATGGTCACCTACTCTGAAGACACAGCTGAAGATGAGCCTG